TACAAATTAATTCAAAACCAAATGTCTGATGAACCCTAAGGTGTTTCTGGCAATGTCTGTCCATACTGTAGTACATGACTTCACTGTAGCCTTGAACTCTGCACCGTTTATGTTGTCACAACATGCGCTGCCAATGAAGGCTGCACGAAACACCTCAGCTTAGATTTGCAACAGCTGTGTGCTAAAGTCGGCAGGGTCTTTACCCTCCTACAACATCTTCTGCTCCTATAGGCACATGAAGGTTTAATTGCAGAAAACAATGGCTTTTACCATTCTGCTGCATGTAAGTATTGAATTAATTTATCTTTGGATTGCATTATGTTAGACAAATGGACATATCCCATTTTTCGCCAGAGTGCAAAACTGCTTTGACCTCTAAGTAGTGGTAAAATAAATATATCCCAAAGAACTTTTAATATTTTTTCAAAGTTTATTATCAGTAAGTGCTTGATTTGTATAACTCTTTCATATAACTAGAAACCCAGGGCTATGGAAAAACTTGTCAGGTGAAGAGGGGTCAGGAGTGGAAAAGCTTAGAGGCCTCGGTCTAGATGGCCTGTAAGACGAGTCAAATCCTGACTCCTATGGAGTAACTACCCCGCCCTCACCCTCAGCCCCCGGGTCAGTTCTGAACTGAAATCACTGTTACACAAAGAGACAATATACACAAATAACCCGAAGAACACCGCCAGCGGCAAAATACAGTAAGGTAGCCAGAAAGTTAAGAAGTTTTGAATATTTCTACCTCTGTTTTAATACAATTTGCTTAATTCTCAGTATGTAGAATTTAATTTTTTAAGATGTGTGAGTGTTATGTCTACATGAATGCTTGTGCAGCATGAATGTGCCTGGTGTCTATAACGGCCAGAGAAGGCAGCAGATCCCCTGGGACTGGAGTTACGGGCAGTCGCGAGCTGCCACGAAGGTGCTGGGAATTGAACCTGGGTCCTTCAAAAGAGCAGCTAGTGCTCTTTAAGCACTGGCTAAGCATCTCTGAAGACCTCAACCCTCCCCCCCCTTTTGAGACAGTGCTAACATATGTAGCCCTAGCTGGCCTCCAGCTTAAAATCCTCCTGTCTCTGCCTTTCACACGCTGGGATTCCAGGTGTGTTCCGCCATGCCCAGCCACAAAATTAATAGCTAACAGCAGTTATGTTTAACAGCCAACTTGTAAAATTCTCCCAAATTTTATAGTCAGCTCTAAGAGGCTAGTAAGAGCTCTCATCACCAAACCAATGCCTTAATGCCCTCTTCATGAGACCTTGTAGTTTTATGAGTCTTGGTTTCTGGATGTTAGTATTAGTGGCCTACCATGGACGGCTGTTATAAGTTGATGCTAATATGAGTGACCTAGCCTGGAAGGCTACCATAAGTGTATTTCTTTTTTTTTTTTTTTTTACCAACACCATAACAACGTTAGTTTTGAAATCCGGTTTGCAGAAATTTTGCTTCCTATGGACAGACTGTTTTTGAGGACTAATGTTCAATCAATTTAGAAAATGCATAACGGGATGAGGTGTTATATTACTGGAAGACAGATGATCAACTGGAGCCAAGATTCCTTGGTGCTTTCAAATATGCAAGAAAAGATGAAGTGTTTCCTCTTTCACACTGCGTGAATGGATGCTTGAAGCCCCATTGTTCCATCACTGAAAATGAACCATGGGATACCTTCTGTAACTTGGCTCCGACCTTCTTTACATCACCCTTCCCTTGTATTTCTACTTGCCAGTTTGCTAGACTTTATGCATGTTTATAGCCGTTTTTGTGAAGTGGGGTGAAGTATGACTATATAATTTCAAAAAGTTCTTTTAAATCATGATTTTAAATTATGATTGTTGCTCTTAGAGCTTGTGCTGTTGGTGTTCTGTTCAGGAAGTTGTCTCCTGTGCCAATGAGTTCAAGGCTCTTCCCCACTTTTTCTTCTAAGCGGTTTAGTGTGTCTGGTTTTATGTTGAGGCCTTTGATCTACTTGGACTTTAGTTTTGTGCAGGGTGATAAGTATGGATCTATTTGCATTTTTCTACATGTAGACATCCAGTTAGACCAGCACCATATGTTGAAGATGCTATCTTTTTTCCATTGTATGGTTTTAGCATCTTTGTCAAAGATCAGGTGTCCATAAGTGTGTGGGTTTATTTAAGGGTCAGAAGGAAGGAAAGGAAGACCTCCCCCCCTATCAGTGGACTTGGGGAAGAGCATGCATGGAGAAGGGGGAGGGAGGGAGGGATTAATAGGGTAGGAGGGAGGGTGCTACAGGGGGGATAAAAGTGAATAAGGTGTAATGAATAATAATAATAAAATAATTAGAGAAAAAATAAATTATGAAACTATTATAGAATACTTTTTCTTTAGTACACTTTTTGAGACAAATTTGAAATATATACATGTGTATATATGTGTGTGTATGAAAACTATATAGTTAGTCTAAGCTAGTCTCCTGATTAGTGCTGGGATGATAGGTGTAGGGTACTAGCTCAGTCCCCAAAGAGATTTTTTGTTCTGTTTTGTTTTGTTTTTTTGAGATAGTTTTTCTCTGTGTAGCCCTGGCCATTCAGAAACTCACTCTGTAGACCAGGCTGGCCTTGAACTCACAGAACTCTCCCTGCCTCTGCCTCCTAGCTGCTGGGATGAAAGGTGTGTACAACCACCGCCCAGTTCCCAAAGCTGTTTTTAAAAAAATATTTATTTTTATTTTTGTGTGTGCATTTGCGTGTGTGTGTTTGTGTGCATGTGCAAGAAGGTACCTACAGAGGCCAGAGGTGTCAGGTCCTCTGCAGCGGGAGTCCCAGGTGGTTGTAAGCTGCCTCACATGGGAACTGAATTCAGGTCCTCTATGAGAGAAGCAGCGCTCTTCGAGGCTGAACCATCTCTCCTTTCTAGCCTCGTCAGAATAGTTTTACTTTATTGTTTTATGCACACAGGGGTTTCGCACTGGCTTATTCGGTGTAGACCATTTATCTCCCTGGCCTCTGCCCGCTAGGTGCCAGTCATATCCGCTGGTGCCCTCTCCCCCTCACGGCGACAGTGGAGAATCCCTCCATGCATTGCTGAGTAGCCCCTGAGAGAGAAAGTCGCCTCTGTCAGAGTTACTGAGCCTCAAATTCATTCATAGGTTAGAAGAAAGATACTTTTTTCAGAAACAGGACGAAAAACGAGAGAGAATGAAAGCAAACTGCAAATCAGGACACCATTTACTTTCTGAAGTAATTGTCTATTTGTGTGCATGCATGTGTGTGCGCAGGTTGTCTAAGTGTATGCTCTTGTGTGTACTCATGCTGGAAGCCAGGGGTGGATGTTGGGGGTGTCTTCCTAGTCTCCATTCTGATTTTTGAGACAAGGGCTTTCACTCAGTCTGGAGCTTGCCTATTGGCTGGGCTGGCTGCCTGTCACGCCCTAGGATCTGCATGTCTCTACCCCTTCCAGTGACCACACCCAGCCTTTACATGGGTACTGGTTATCCAAACTCAGGTCTTCATGGTTGCCAGGGCAACTAGTTTGCCCATGGATCCTCTCCTCACCCCATCATTTACTTTTCTGGTCTTTTTCAAACGGTAACATCCCTGACAGAAAATTGTTATTTAGGAAAACAGCTGCTGCCAGATCTTTTATAAGAAATCCAAATCCCCAGGAAACAAAGAGACTTTGGGTAATGAGGAAAGAAGCTTTAGGGTCGCTTTCCCTGCTTCCCCTACCGCTGCCAGGCTGAATGCTTACCTAGATGCCTTACAGGTCTGAAATGAGAGGAACAATCTCAGTTTCTGAATATGGCCTTCATCAGTATTAGACAGAGAATGAGGAAGAGGTACTTGCAATTCCTGGAAAATGATTTCATTGCGTAGAAAACCAAGAATAAAGCCCCTGAGACACAGGCAGGATTTGAAACTTAGCAGACCTGCTTCCCACAGGCTCCGAGCGAGGAATCTGGGTGATGAGCCCACCGCAAGGCTGAAAACTGGAAAGTCAGTCCCAGAGCCTCAGCTGCGATGCAGGGTTCATCTGTTTGGGTTTTGTGAACAGAATTTAAGTGGGCAGGGAGGTGTGGTTTAATTGTGCTCTGTTCTGTGATTTGAGGCATGTCTAGGCCAGTGTATTGCAGACCTGGCTGGACAACAGAATCATCCAGTGAGTTTTTGAAAAAACACAGATGCCTGGGCCCCAATGATAGAGATTTACTATTATGATTATTATTACTTGGGAGGGCAAAAGTATCATTATTTCTTTTTCTGTCTGAACCCAAAGCCTTAAGCATACTATAACAAGTGCTTTACCGTTGAGCTAGATCCTTTGCCACCAATATTGCTTTTGAAACATTCAGAAGGGCTAGGAAATGTAGATTTTATTCTAAGTGGGACAAAGTACTGATTTGAAACTCAAGGTTTATTTGATGAGATGGAAGAGTGGAATGGAAACTGGAGATTAGCTGTAATGAATTGGTTTAATGAGTATCATTTTCCAGCTCTCACTAAGCTTTTGTTTGTGTGTTTGTCTGTGGGTGTATGAGCTGACTATGAGTGTGTATGAGTGTGTGCATGGGTGTTAATGGGTATGTGTGAGTGTGTAAATGTATATGTTGGGCATTGAACCCCAGGGCTCACACATTCAAAGCTTGTTGTACCACTGAGCTACACCTGCAGCCTTGCACTGCAAATATTTTTGCCTTTTGCTCTTTACTGAACGCTCTTGGGAGGCGCTATGACATACAGTGGGCATTCAATCTATACTTGCTAAATAAAGCATGACCTTTAACAGTGCACATCAGCCAACTCCTAAATTACTCCCCCAAGCCTCCCGATGGCACGTGTGCCCCGCCCTTTTGTGTAATCACGCTGGCTAGGGAATCTCTGACTTCAGTCAGCTCTGGATGCTTTCCACAAACTTTCCTCAAGTCCTCCCTGACAAAGTTCAGGGATGGGACCAGTGTCTGATCCAAGAACTATTGGGGTTTCCTTCCTCTCCACACTCCTCCTGATGTTAACGCGGGATCTGTTTGTTTTCAGGCTGTAGACTCCAGAGCTGGAAAGGAAGACAGACTTTCTTTAAGGCAAGGGTCTGTCTCCCTGCCTAAGAAAGACAAGTGAAATAATACTGCAGGTATGTTAATATGCAAATGCTATCAACCTTGAGAAGGGCACTATATTGAAAATAACATTTTCCATTTAAAAACAAATAAACAAACAAACAGCATGGCATTTTAGAGAAAATAAAGCACTTCATAAGCATTTCTATTTCTTTCATCAGGGCATGGTGTAAAAATGGAGCCCTGTGAGAGGAGTTCTAAGTGTTTGTGAGAAAACTCCAAGAAAACAAGACAAGTCTTGTGATTTTCAGTTTCTCTGAAAACATGGACTTGTTCTTGGATGCTGCTGCCACCCCCCACCCCCCCAGGTACAGTGGGCAGGAGTGAGTTACTTCAGATGATTCACTGCAACCAGCCATTGTAACATGTTTATACGCCATGTGCAGCCTGCCCTCACGATTGGACACTTCTCTCATGTGACTCATCTTAACTCTCAGAGCGTATATTGTCGGATGCTCTGACTAAAGCTGGCTATTGCGTGAGACTTCAGTCCGCCTCATTTATCATTTCTGTCCTCTCAGGTCCCCCTGCCAGCTCGAGCGGTAAACAGGGGAGTGGCAATGCTAGGGTTCCTTCTAGAAATGTCTGAAGAAATGTGTCTCCTGAGCATTGGTCCTCAATCTGTGGGTCGAGCCCCCTTCGGGAGTCACCTATCAGATAGCCTCAATGTCAGACATTTACATTCCGACTCGTAACAGTACCAAGATTACAGTTCTCAAGTAGCAACAAAATCATTTCATAGCTGGGGTCGCCACAGCATGAGCTGTGTGAAAGGGCTGCGGCCCCGGAATGTTGACGAGCACTGCTGTGGAGTAACTGTGCTCGGGATGACGTCCCTCCATGGCTTCAGGTGGCGTTATCTGCTCAAAGATATAGCAGTTCACTGTGGAAACGCTTTTCTCCTCTTGCCCTCAAATGTTCAAGCGGGAACTGGTGTTTCATGAACCCCAGACACAGCCAGTGACCTGAGAGCAGGGTCTAAGGATCGGCTTGCCTCATGGCTTCATCTTAGTCTCACCAAATGGGGATTTCTCAAACTCCAGGAATGTGCTGTGCAATTTAAACGTGTGCTCTCTGTAATTCTTGTGTTCATGGCATTTGAGAATCACTCATGGATTATTCAGATTAGAGCACTACCATCTTCATGCCTAAAATAGTATTATTAGTATTCCTCTGGATGAGAAAACTACGAATAGCTGACCTACACTGAGCTCTTACAACTCTCCAGAGCATTGGTAAAAATGAAACAAATGACCGGGAAATATAAACAAATTATAATTCCTTCAGTATTTTCATTTAATTCTGTTTTGTTTTGTTTTGATTTCCCTAACTATGAGTCACCTCTGAGTATGCATGCGGTCATAGCTTTGAACTTGGTTCTACTTCATGAAAGGATAAAGAGGCATGAGTACTGGGACCTATCTCCAAAGTTTTTCTTTTTTTTTTCTTCTTCTGGTTTTTTGAGACAGGGTTTCTCTTTGTAGCCATGCTGTCCTGGAACTCACTCTGTAGACCAGGCTGGCCTTGAACTCACACAGATCCGCCTATCTCTGTCTCTCTGAGTGCTGGGATTAAAGGCATACTCCACCACTGCCCTGCTCAAAGCTATCTTTTAAATCTTGAGAAGATGCTGTGAGAAATACAGGAATTCAATTACAATACGACTACCTAGGTTCCTTAACAGAGAGATGAGGTTTAGAAACATTCTTAAAGGCTGCCAGACTAACGGCATTTTGAAAGATGAAAATAAGAGATTACTTAGTGATCACTAAATGCTCACTAAGAGCGGGGAGGAGTGGCGGAGTGTTTTTGCAGGAGTGCGGTTGCAGCGGAAGGAGGGTCTCCGCAGGGACTGGAGAAGAGTTCAGTCTAAACACCACCTCCAATTTAGCGTCTGTATTTCACCACATGCTTCACTGATGTTCCGCCAAGTAACGGGGCACCCATCAACACCAAAGGCATTTAACACATGTGACTTCCTCCGCGGATCAGTAACCTAAAACTCAACCATGCGCCTTCCACCTCAGCTGACACATATCTTAATCCCTTTGACACCAGAGGTGCTGCTGTTGACATGGCCAGAGGATGGCTGTGCATGGTGGGGTCAGGCCATGATGTGCAAGTTTAGCTCACAATACAGGCGTCACCCTCTTATTTACTTATTTTTTAATCTTTTGCCAAATCAATTAGGCCAAGAAAACAAATTGGAGGCTGGTAGAGATGAAAGATATGTGAAGTGATTTTTGTGATGGGTTCTGATCATGGGTAAATACAAACTTTAAAAAAAGACAGAAAAGAGTGAAGGACGGAGACTCCACAGTTGGACAAATGCTGACCTCCGTTGCTGCCAATGGAAACTGAAGTGGAAGCCAGCTCTGCTAGTGTCTTACAGGCTTATTAGACCCTGGCTGTCCTCCAGAGCAGCTGTCCTCTGGACATGTCTGGGTATCACTCAGTTCCCCAAACATGGATCTAGGTCAGTGAAATGCAGCAGCCTACTCCACCCAGTGATATCTGACAGTTTGTTCCTTTGGAGAAGACCAGTTCAGAGGCACTGGAGAGGTCTGAAGTCTTTTTCCAGATCCCCCCAATGCTATCCCATTCTGGAGATTTCCTCAGATCATTTTTCTCAGCACTGTTCTCCCCCGCAAAGGCCCTCAGTCCCAGGCTCAGCTGCTCCTCAACCTGGCCTTTCCTTCTCCACTGGCTTGTCCGTTCTCATACTGTATTCTTTCTCATTTACTCCTGAAAGATAGCACCTAACTAATAATTGTTATTTCTGTTGAATCATTACAGTATAGTATCTTTCTGAAAGAACATACCCTGATTTTACTCTTCTAAAAAACACTTTGGGCTAGTGGTGCATGCCTATAACCCCAGCACTCAGAAAGCTGAGGGAGAAGGATGGCCAGCCAGAGCTGAAGACTGAGATCCTGTCTCAAAGACCAAACCAACACACACACACACACACACACACACACTTTGTAGCTCTCCATAGACTATAGGTAAGAAGGTATACCACACCAGGAGAGACACTGGGCCTTCTTTGAAATGACCCATGTTGGTGGCTTTTATGATTACATGGACACTATTTTTTATTAGGTGTTGCACATCTTCACATTTAGTGCATGGCAATGGACTGTCCATTATGGAGTTCCCAGCAGGAAAGAATGATGCTCTCATTTCCTATCGAGGCTGATTCAACTTTTTTTTTTTCTTCCAAGAATAGACAGAGGACAGGACATGGGGTTACATGGGGAGAGCCAGAGGCTCAGCCAGGATGACAATCCATGAATTTAGATTCTAGGTTTCGGCTTTGCCCTCACAGCTGGTTTGACTCTGTGGTCAATCATGCCATTTTAGTAAAATCAACATAGGATCCTTTTTGAAATTCTCCTTGTCCATCAGGGTGGCTTGAAACTTCAGTTATCTTTTACTCTTCTTCAAAAACTTCATACATCAAGCTCAGGCCCTGCTGTTAGATGGTGTGTTTATGTGAGATCAGGGAGGGCCACAGAAATATAGAAGTGAGTCACAAGCAAACTTCCTGTTCTCAGAAAATGATAACATTTGTGAGTTTTGGTAAAATGGGATATTTTAAGAAGGAATTTCAGCATGTCAGATGGATTAAGAGCTGGAATCTAAATGATTACCCAGTTAGGTATTATATTTCAAGTTCAGGCCATTTTGGATTTGTGACAGTGATTAAGGTTAGAATTTCCAGACTCCCACTGGCTTTAGTTTGATGCTTTCTCTATTTGTCCAGCCATGTTGCCTAGGGACTGGCTTCCTCAGTGGTCCTTTACCACTTTATTTGGGATTCTAAGATAGATGCCTAGGAAGTTGCTCATATCCTTGAAGTAAAAGTTCTTAACTTGGTCTCCCATGGAGGCTGCTGGGATCTTGCCTAGACCTAACTCCCCAGGATTTTCCGAGATTGGCCAAAGCCATGTGTTTTCAGAAAGGCCCTCAGATGATTTTAGGCTGCATCTCTCACTAGGAACTGCTATTTTGAGGTGACTTTCTGATTTTTCCTTTTGTGAGACTTGGATTGCAAAGCCCTGTGTGAGGGCATGTACCTGACTGCCAAGAGATGCCCGGATCCCCCCTACAGTATCCCATGGAGTCACAGCAGTACTTTTGATGTTCCAGTGTATAATGGGCATGCTGAACAGTACTTTAAACACAATTTCTTCCCCCCTTTCCCCTGATGTCTTTTTGAAAGCCTAGAAGAAAAAAATGTGCACATCATTATTCCCTTTCTCCCGCTTGGCCAATTTTTTTCCTTCTTCCTGCCTCGGCTGTTCTGGCCTCACAGCTTCAAATTATTTATTACCTTATCATGCCAAAGCATTTTATTTTGGCCACCCCAGCCTTGCTGGCACACAGCACTGGGAATGCTGTCAGATACGGTAACTGTGCTGCCAAGAGGCGCACGCGGTTGGTATAAGCGTGGAGGCAGTTTGTTTAGTGTTTCGTTTCTTTATACAGGCGTGGCAGACTAAAGGACACCAGCGTTTTGTGAGTCTGAGGAGCACACCTGCAGTGGATGTCCAGATCACCGAGTTAAACTACAATAGGACAATCAGCCTTTCACAGCACAGGTCCTAAGGGGAAAGGCTGATGGCTACCCTCTACAATTCTCTGGGACAAGTGCAAAGACATAGTCTTTATTTTTCCGTATCAGCCACTCTGTTGATACTGGTGCATTTTCCCTTGTCCTTTGGCTTTGCTATTGTTGCAGTGTCATTAGAGGAAATTCCAGACAGTGAAAAAACACGAAGGATCAAAACACATTTAGGGTTTTTCCAGCTCCATATTTCTTTTTTTTTCAAATGTGGCCACCTATAAAATGACATGGACACTTTTGGACATAAAAATCAACGGTGAAGCTGAGTCAAAACAAGAGGAAACACAGTCTGAGAGATCTGTATTATACTGTTAGTCATTCAAAGAAAAACAAGCTGTGCGCTATGCAATTCAAATGAGCTGCAAAGCAGCCCTTGTCTTCATTCTAGGAATCTTACATGTGCGCTCAGTTATTTCAGGAAGTAGATCAGAAGCCTAAAAGATGTTTCCATTGAAATGCACCCAGAGCATTTAATTTAAAATTTCAAGTCTATTGGAATTCCACTTACTGTACAGCAGCTCATTTACACGACAATATGAAAAATGGAGTGGAGGTCTCATAATTCTTCCTACTTTTAAAATAATAATTTTATTATAATACAAAAGAAGAGAAATTTTCAGATATTTTGTGGTTTTGGAGACAGGATCTCACTATGTAGCCCAGGCCAACCTTGAGCTTGAAATTCAAGGATATAGTTCCATACCTTGCTAAGAACAGAATTATCAATAAAAAGGAAGGAAATATTTGAATGTACAAAGGAGAAAAACCACTGCTCTCTTGCCCTCAGAGTAAGGAAGCTGAGAATATTCCTTGTGTTGCTTGGCCAGCAGACGGCAGAACTCTTCAACAGGCCAGACTTGGATTTTTTTTTTTTTTCCTAGGTTGGGTCAGCAAGTTCCTCCTTGGCTAGTTTCCAGAGAGTTTTATCCAAGAGCCATGTAGTGGTTTGATTAAGAATGCCCTCCATAGGCTGAGATACTTGAACACGTGGTCTCCAGTGGCTGGCACAGTTCGGGGAGGCTTCGAAGGTGTTGCCTGGCTGGAGGGAGTGTACCCCGGGGACATGCTTGGTTTGTTCTGTGTTCTCAGTTTGCTCTCTCTCCTTAGTGCCTGCACTTCAAGAGGCCTCAGCTTCCTGCTCCAGCCACCATGTCTACTGCTTGCTTCCACACGTCCTCATTTTGATGGACACTCACCCCACTGCAACTGTAACCCAATTAAAATATTTCCTCTAGGTTGTTTCCGCTGCAGTGTTTCATCAAAGCAACAGAAGAGTAACTAATGCTCTGTCCCTCCACCACTTCTTCCGTCCTCCTTTCCACTCTCTATCTCTCTCTTCCCCTCCACTTCCTTTTGAAAATTCCCTTCCTTCTCTTCCCTTTGTCCTTTTTCTTTCTTCTTCTCCCAACTGATTGGATGACTGAATGCTACCAATGAGATTAAGTTAGAATTATTGCAAGTATCTCCTAAGGGCAGATATTAAAAACTATCCTCTTGTGATGGATAGCATGTAATTAATCCTGGCTTATGGAGAGGAAAGCGATTTATTTTAGATGGAACTAAAAAAAGGACAGGGTAAGAGATGGCACAAAATTAATTTTTATGTCTTCCTTTATTAAAAAAAGAACAGTCTAGTCCATGAGAAAGATGGAGTCAAGTGGAGGATTAAAGTAGGGGTGTGGAAGGTGGACCTAGGCATTTCTGCAAATTAATTAATTAGTTCATGCCCAACAACAGATGTATTTTTATAACACACACTTAGAAATTGCTTTTGCTAAAAGTATTGACTTCTCATTTGGGCCCACAAGATGACTTTTTAAGTTACTCTTCTGTGATCAAATGCATGATAAAAAGCAACTTATTTAAGAAGGAATTATTTTGGCTCAGGGCTGAGGGGAAGGCCTATTAGAGTTTATGATGGCGGGACTTGTGGCTAGCAACCCTCACATCTTTATAGCCAGCAGGCAGCAAGTAAGCTAAGAGCAGAGCCAGGCTATAATATTTAAGCCCCTGCCTCACCACAGCCTAATTCTTCAGCCTCGCTTTAGCCCCCGAAAATTCCACAACTTCCAATAATAGCACCATGAGCAAACAACCGAATGTTCAAACAGAGCCTGTGGGGACATATTCAACCTTAACATCAAGTAAATGTAGGACAAAAGCCTAACACCTCCGAAGCCTCTTTGTATCTGTCTTTTTCACTGCATTCCCAGCTTACCCCGCAGGTCAGCATGTTGGCCACTCATCCCTCTTAAGGCTGAGGCACAGGGATTGCTGGAATGCAAGAGAAGAAAACCCCCAAGAGACAGACAAATATCCATGAAGCTACGTAGGCTGTCCCCTAGAATGGCAGTAACTATTTCCCAAGGGCCACCATGTCTCTGGAAGCAGGGAGGACTTGCTTGGGTCACCGTACTGAGCTGTAGTTCAGACAACACTCAGCAAGCCCACACTTAGACCAACGCTGCTGAGCACACTTACATCAAGGCAGCTTCCTTATACATGCTTTTTGCTCCCTAACCCCATTCTTGCTCTGTTTAAGCCCAACACTCAAATGAGTCCCCCAGATGTGGACTTGGGGTCACTAGCTTCCTTTATATGTTTTCTTCCCAGTGTGGCCATGTTGACTACATCTGTTTATTATTATTATTCTCTTTAAATGGCCTAACAGGTAGGTGGAAGAGCCTAGCTTCACAAGGCTGATAGAACCCTGGCTTTTGTCTTAACTAGAGTTGCATCTTTCTTAAACTTTAAATCTGATGTTTCATCTTAAAATGGGCCTCTGCACCATGACTCCGACCTACCCTGTAATGTGGCCACTCTTGCTGTTTGGTCTGTGAGTACATAAATGGAGGAGTGTGGAGTGTGTTCTTTGGAGCTGGCTTATTTTGTTTTCATCATGTGTGTGATCAGGAGTTCACTACAGCGCAGGGAGTCCTCTGCACAGAGAGAAAGCAGACACTCTTCTAGAAGGTAGTAATAGGACTGAGGCCTGACTATCAGTTAGCTAATCCTACATTATTCCCTTGACAGGAAGAGGGTCAGGGTGAAGGTAGAAGTTGGCCAAGAATCTGAAAGGAACGATGGAACATGGGAGAAAAAACAGAGAAAGGGCAGGCTGGATGGCATTTGATTAAATGATAGTGTTTCTGGGATCAGATTTGATTTTAGATATCTTTAAGCATTTACTCAAATCAACCGAACTTCTTGTGCTTTGGGCCAGATCCATATAGGTTCAGTAATATACCCTTCATCCTTCCTTCCCCCCCAGGTTAGTATTCCATAGTAAATGTGTTTTGGGAATTTTTTTTTTTTTCAGTAGAGTTGCTAAAGTTTTTCTAGATGAATGATTTCATTTAAATATATAACATACACACTATGAAGTGTGTTACTGTTTGGCAGCCATTTAGATACGGTAGGATGGAAGGGCCCTGGGACTAGGCCCCTATCTCATAGAGTTTGTAAAACAAAGGACTGGGAAAGCAGGAGTTTAGTTATTGTCAGAAGAGTGGGAACCATGTCATCCCTGGCTCTGGAGGGGAAGATGACATCCAGGGGAGCTCATTAATGGATAGTCGTGCCAACCTGGCCCCTCCAGCATCGGCTTATAAGATGACTGCCCGCTAGACACCTTCTTATAAAGAAGAAAGACATACACTTTCTTTCTCTTATATATCAACCAAAATAAGTCTAAACAGGACGGAGTCCCTCCAGGAAATGGTGACTGATAGGTCTAGAGATACATTAGAAAATAATGCAAAGTCCTAAGCGTCAATCCGGACAATGGCTTCCTTGAAAATGCCTGCTTTCACCATTGACAAAAAGAGATACCATGGGCCTTCTACTCTACTCTGTTGCTCTACTCTGCCGAACTCTGCCTGTTTTCTACATAGCACTCTTTAGGTCTTAGCTCAATTCTTTCAATGAAGACCACAAGGGCCAGGAAGATGAGGGGAATCCAGATTAATATCTTGATGATATCTTTCGGTGTTCCCAGCCTGTTCCAATCAGATTTTTCTCATCTTCATGGTCACAGAGTCTCTTTACTTGGATTGATGTCATGAGGTTTCTTGCTCCTCAGGTTTACAACATCCCTTGTATTTGTGTGTCTGGGCTAGGCTGTGGGATTGCTCTGCTTTCCTATTTTGGGGACTATGTGCCTCAGATCTCTTGTCCTTGCTCTATTTGTATCTCAGGTACCTGTGTTAACCTAGCTCTGATGGTGCTTTCAGGCAGGGGTAGCAGTCTCTTCCTCGAGTCCATCTATCTATCTATCTGTCTATCTATCTATCTGTCTATCTATCTATCTATCTATCTATCTATCTATCTATCTATCTATCTATCTATCTATCTATCTATCTGATGGTTGTTGTTGTCAGCATAAGACCCAGCCGTAGCATGCTGCTTTCCTTACATTCTGTTCCTTGAATTAGCTAACTTTTTTCCTGTTTGGGTCAGGCTTGAGATGGCTACTCATCTGTTTATCTTCTGTCATCAAGGCTTCTCTATAAAAACACCACTTTTCTTACAAATCACGTATTTATTTTGGGGACTCCAATACACTTTCCTTCATTTTAGCTTCCTAGGCCCAATTTAATAATGTTTGTTACTCACTTCTGAAATGTCATTTTTCCAGGGACAGGATATCATTATTGTTGTGTGGTAAAGTCACTACTCTTTTATATTATATTCGTGAGATAACACCAACCCTCAGGAGGTCCCTTTGTTTTTGAGGATTTTACTTTGCATGGTATACCAACGGATACATAATAATTCTTCCATGGCCGATAGGCTCTAAGAGATTTTGTCTAGGATTTTTGTTTTTTTCCTTTTGGTTCTTCTCTGCCCTCAGCTAGATATTCAGTTCAATCTTTCCAGTTCCTTGGAGGAAGGAAGTCACACTGTATCTGGGAAGGCCATTCATACCTGTACCAGGAATTACAGGAGTACAGGGAAATTTCAGAGAAGGCCCATGGTATCTCTTTTTGTCAGGAATTGGGTGAGGTATGCTCTGCCCGATTCCTAGATTCTCCCCTGAAAATGGGTATGTATGCCCCAATTCTTCACTGGTATTTTAACAGTCTCAAATGAAAGGAACACCTTCACAAACTCCCTGTAAGGAACTCCCTGTCCCTTTCTCTCCTAGATGGGCTGCTGCCCTTTAGTTCCTCTCAGTTTGCCTCTTTGATGTATCATTCATAAGTGGAACAAATCTGATTCCCAAACTTTAAAAAGACAGAAGCTTGACTATTTTCTTTTACAAAAATCCCACATGGCCACAATATAATCAGAGAGAAAGAAGACAGGTTAAAAACAGGATTAACTTCAGTACTATTTAAAAAACTTACTATCCTTTGATTTTCATACAAATGATAATATATTTTGGTCACTTTCATTGCCCATCGCTCACTCTCACCTTCCTAGTCATGCTGAACCTCTTCTTCACATGTTCCCCTCTGGTCTTCATGTCTTACTTTTTTGTGAGCCACTGAGATTAGGGAGGTTTGCTTGTACGAGCACGCATGGGAGTTACCCATTGGAGCCTGGGGCAACTTAACCAAAGGCGATCATTCCTCACCCCTAGCAGCTACTAACTGCCAAGGGTTCCTCAGCTCAGGGCCCAATGAGGTCCTACCCCAATCATGATGGAATGCTGATGGGCACCATCTTGTACAAGTCACCCCTGTGCTGTGAGGCCATGAGGGTTGGCCATGCCATGAGCAGAAGGCAGTGTTTTCTGTGCCATTCTACAGTTAGATTTTTTTCACAAGTGGGCAAGTGCTTTATATAAACTGTGTTTGCTTTCCCAGAAGACATAGATTTATGCTAATCATGTAATTTGGACAAAAACATAGAAGCCCTCATAAATAAGGCTGAACATTTAGACTTCTTTTTTGTTTTGTTTTTTTTGTTTGTTTGTTTTGAGAGAGGGTTTCTCTGTGTAGTCCTGGCTGTCCTGGAACTCACTCTGTACACCAGCTGGCCTTGAACTCAGAGATCCACCAGCCTCTGCCTCCCAAGTGCTGCCATTAAAGGCCTGTGCCACCACTGCCTGGCATAAATAAGACTGAACACTCTCAACTGAGAGATACTCTCTCCTCCTGAGAAGCTGGAAGAAATAAAGCATTTAGCAATATCACCACCTACTGGAAATCTAGTCCAGCGCACCCCACCCCCACATTCACAGTCCTTAACTAATACTATTATATGTAATTTCCTTTGTTTGGATGTGCCCCCTCTAAGAACATGTTATAGAATATGGACGTGTTCCTGATCAGTGACATTTCACTACACATGACCTCAAGCAGATTAAGCAGGATTTGGGTAGTTTCTTTGATGATCTTGAGAACTAGACTGTTTTTTTTTTTTCAACATCTTTCCCAGATTTAAGAGCTTCCTTAGGATGTCAGTGCTACTGTGGGCAGACCCACGTGATTTTGAGAGACCTGGAATGACTCAAAGGGATGCACAATGCACAGTGGATTTACACAGTTGGTTCCTAATGCCTCATAGGACTTAAAACAGTCCTCATGGACTGCCAAGATGTGATTACAACACCTAGAATGACATGTGCTAATACTGAAGCCGTCAAGGCTCTTCCAGCACCCAATGCTAGAAAACAGGGCCTTCAGGACTAGCATGTTACTGTGGACTTTCCTGGATATAGCCTGCTATTTCCCTGACTTCTACAGAAATCAGCTTCAGCCCATGTGAGGAGCTGTGTGGGTGCCCTTTTTTTTTTTTTTTTTTTTTTTTTTTGATTCAGATCTTTTGTGGGAGAGAAGCACAGAGTTTAAGTCAACTTGCCTCTAGCCTCAGTGAATTCCAAAAGGCTCTTAGAGAATAGTGATCACAGACCCTGCTCGATCAACCAACAACACAGTAAGGATGGGTACAAATTACATATTCCAGGAGTTCTGCGGGGCCGATAATGAACTCCTCTTTGGACATGGCCGCTTTCCAGTACTGTTATCTTCTCCTACCATCATCAAAGGCTGAGAAATGACCAAGTGGCTTCATCTGATGCAAGTTAAACTGTTCAAAGAAGCTGTTAGTTCAAACCAAGATCTCAGTTTCACAACCTAGGTATGTATGACGGCCGTACACTTAAGAATCCATTTCCTTAACCAAGAACAGGCCAGGGCCCGCGGCACAGTGTTTCAAATATAGTGCTTTAAATGAGTATGTAAAGAAGGTTTCAGATTTGGCAGACACAGGCGTTAGGAAGGAGTGCTGGATAAGGAAAGCTGTGGTGCATGACACAGGAAGGCACTATTCACCTTTGTTTGGACAGTTTGCCCTCTAAAGAGATGCCCAAGTGCATGTGGCTTCTTCACCCAGCCAGTACCAGAGACGAGGTTGGTGAGGAAAAACAGCATTTGCCACCAAACCCACAGCTTCCTCGAAATCAGTCAACTCTGGATATGGGCAAAACTAAGCAAACAAGTAAATAACAAATAAATAAGCAAGCAAATAACTAAATAGCAGAAAATAACTGGAGAAAGGGGAGGCTAGGAGCTCAGCAGAACAAATCTCAGGTTTAAAAAAAAACAATTAGAAAAAGTTTTACAATAGAAAAAAAAATGGCCATTGAGCAGTAAGGAGCTAGGCTTTGATTCTGGGGGTTTCCTGAAGGCTCAGTGTATCAGAGGCTTGAGCACCAGCGTGTGGCACTGCCGGGAAGTGGTGGAATGTTCAGGATGTGGGGCCTAGCGCGACAAGTTAGCTTACCCTAAGACAGTGCTTTTGTGGGAGATTCTGGGTCCTCTGGCCTTTTTCTCTCCCCATTTCCCCACCACCATAAGGCGAGTAGCTGCTATGTTGCACCGTGTACCCCTTCCAATATGTTGGCTCGCCACTGGTCTAGGGACACGGACTGAAGCCACTAAAACCATGAGACTTGAATCCTTTTAAGTTGATTTATCTCAGGTATTTGTCACAGCACCCATAGGCTACTGAACATAGTGAGAAATCAGGGAAAAGAGATTCAAGGCTCAGGAAGTCAGGTCCTTGAAGCATAGGAGTCTACTCAAAATAGTTATTCCGGCCAGTCTCAATATTTCCATCTGCCATATGGGAACACAGCGTCAATGATACTTCCATTTTTGTAAGTGGCATATGTGTTTCTCTCTCTCCTCCTGCAAGTCTACATCAGTATGCACATCTCTGTATCAGGAGTAGGGCTTTTCACTTTATTGATTTTATTGCCAGCTTTATACAGGAACTAAGCTGTTTTCATCTGAAATAAATGAGCTTATCAGGGCACCTGAATGCGAATGTCACCGACCACCTGTTTCTGACCAGAGACCATCCCCTGTGGGAGAGCTCATTATCCACCAGCTGAATTTGTCATGCTCTCACTACAAAGTGAAAGGACACCTTTCGATGGTAGGAACAAGACAGGTGGGCATTCGCCAGTTCTGTGGGCCCATGGTTTAGGCAGTACATTTGCCAATGAGAAACAGGATCTCCACAGACTGCCCTTGGGGTTAGTGGGGGCTATTTATAGCTCCCGACACAGGAGGTTTCAGGTGGAGAATGGACATGATTATTAATACTCTGCAGGAAGGACTGTGAAGTCCCCACAGATACCATCTTACAGAACATGTCAATGGGAAGGGAAGCATGAAAGAAAATGGAACACATGATAGAAATTGGAATGTGAATCTGACTTCTGGTTGTCTGCTTTGCTAGCTTATCCATGTTCCTCTTTTTCAGCTGTGAGGTCTTTGTTGTCCATTTAGAAAATGGAAATGATTGGGCATTTTTGGGAAGCAGAGTGTTTTCTGAAGGAGAAATGCGCGGCACCCAGACTCTTCATGGTGATAACCTTCCCTTCCTCGTTTTTGAGTTATTACACCTTTAGATGTTGCCTGCTCCAGCCAGAGGCTGTGAAGAAAACACTTCTCGCGTGTGTCAAGCTCCTCACATGTCAGGGACATACTTTTTCAGTCTCAGCGTACCCTGTATCCCCACCTGGAACACTCACTGAACCCTGCCCTGACAAATGAGACTCATTGTTTTTGACCCAATTCTCATCCCACTTCTTCCATAGCTTTCTCTGATTAGCTACTAGGGAGCTCCCTGCTTTCCATGGACCTTTGGGTAGCTGTCAGAATCTTTTTCATATAACTAACCATATCACATTACCTCTTACTTGGTTGTTTCAGTTTCTCCAGACGGAGTCAGTACCTGCTGAGGCAGCAATCACTATGCTGTTGGAATTAGGGACCTTGTCTACTCAGAAGGGCATAAAGGATTACTTTTCTCTACTCTGCCTAGAAGGGGTTCTTTGTGCTCGTTCACACAAAGGCAGGGTACAAGCCAGCTTAAGTTCCCTTTCTCTTATAATCAATTCCAAACACGTGCAGACCAACTCGGCTGTCATGGACAGATACCACAGTTACTCCCCAAGGAGAAATACCATCTTCCCCGGTCCCCTGGATGGCACCATTCATCAAATGCTTTCTTTCAAAGACATTATCTTTCCTGGTCACAAAAAGCTGACACAGTTTTCCAGATGAAGCAAAACAAAAGGCATACTCTAAAGGAAACCAGAGAAAGACACTCAAATACAAATCAAACTCGGAGATAATTCAGCAACAACTGCTAAAAGCCCTAGATTCGAATGCTGTCAAAGATACAGTTAGGGAATAAAGGAAAGGGGAAAAGAAAGGCTGAAGGAGCTGCAAATTCTACAGAGAAAGTCTGCATAAGGCAACTATTGCTCCCTACTTACACCTGGGTTAGCAGAGGAAATAGAGGAAAGACGTGAAAGAGCAAAGCAATGCATGGTGCATACCAGGGCATACAGGTCCCCGTCGCTCTCTGCTTAAGAGGAGTCTCTGTTTATTTGGTTCATAGATAAGTCATGCATGTGGTCATGAAGGGCCACCTCAGAGAAAGGGTTCCTGCTCTAGACCATTTAGTGCCAGCCTTGTGACCTCAGCAAGGATCTCCATCTAGTTTATCAGCCAAAAGGAGACACAGTGCCACCCTACTCCTCACCTGGAAAATGTTCAGGCTCCACAGAGGGCCAGAAGGAAAAGGTGAGTAAGGCCTGTTCTCTACCCTTCCTCAGCTCAGCCTGCTATCTCCCACGGATGAAGCTGGAGACTAGAGAAGAGTGTTATCAAATGGAAAACATGGCAACAATGGAAAGCCCAATCTTCCATGACTTCCTCCCTATATCTAGCTCCATGCCCTGGGCTTTCCTAGCTTCACTTAGTAAGTGAGGGCATTTCCTGTGCTAAAATTTATCATTTTAGCTAAAATTGAAGAAGTCAGGGTTTCTAGGTTCTCCAGAATCACAAGTTTCTAGAAGATCACCATGAAGTAGTATAGATACAACAAAAGGATAAGAATATTGTAACAAGCCCTCAATGTACCAACTCCCCTACTTAGGAGAGAAAACACTGCACAGACTGCTGGCTAGTGGCATAGCCTTTTATCCCCAGGGTGTGGAAATGATGAATTTGGTGTTTATCATTCAGAATACGGCCATGTAAGGATGCCTGATGGGTGATAAAGAATGATTTACCACTGAAGCGCTCTCTTGCGAGTTCTTAGCTGTTAATGAGAATCAGAGCAGACAGTGCACACCAAAGGTGTTCCAGTCCAATCTGTACTTGCCACCCCTGCCTGGTACCCAGCCTGCGGCCAGGCACAGCTCGCTGCACTGAGGAGTCCAGTTTAGTGTTTACCTTGAGGGCCTTCTGCGCAGACTCACTGGACCCTATTGCAATCAGGTTGGGCCCAGCCATGCTGCAGAAACTCTTTAAATGCAAAGAGTCGGCCACGGGAACGGTGGACACCGCGTAGTCCTATGCAGACAAACAGAAAGAAAGACAAGTCGGTTTTTACTGCGTAGTCCTTCTCGAGACTGATTAAAAACTGCCTGAATCGGGCTTGCCCTTCTGAAGGTTGCCTGCCCTAGCGGGAAGCTGGGGAAGTGAGAAACCTGACTCTCAGGTATTGCCAGCCGAACCAAGGCTTGTAAGAAGGAAGCAGTTTCCTTCCAGAGTTGACTGTGTCACCAGCGATGCTGGCTCCTTGGCTGGTGGAACAGACTACCCTGGGAGGGTTGTTTGCATCCCTTGTGGATACTGGATCAGCCAGAGCCTCACATTCTCAGAGTGAGCAGCAATTCCTGGATGACTGTGTATGTGTGTGTGTGAATGTGTGTTTGTATCGCTACTAAGCAGTCTTCTGAACCATTCTCCCATGAGCAGTAAGAAGAGCTTGGAGAAAGGCCTATGCAACAGTTTGCACAGTTTCCGGTACACAGTAAGTACCCAGTAGAAAAGATCCCAGATTCTAGTCTCAAAATCACATTTTGCATTAGACATATCTGGGTCTCCAGACTTTTTGCTTGTTTCTTTTCTCTCCCTATTTTTTTATTTTTTTTATATTAATTACGGGTTATTTACTTTGTATCCCAGCCTTAGCCCCCTCCCACATTCCCTCCCAATCCCACCCTCCCTCCCTCCTCTCCTCCCTGCCCCTTTCCAAGTCTACAGATAGGGGAGGACCTCCTCCCCTTCCATCTGACCCTAGCTTATCAGGTCTCTTCAGGACTGGCTGCAATGTCCTCTTTCTGTGGCCTAGCAAGGCTGCTCCTCCCTCGGCCGGGGGGTGGGGGGGAGGGAGGAATCGATGAGCTAGACATTGAGTTCATCAGACTTTTTTTTTAAATGTGATTTTTGTCAGGAACATGTGCTGGTGTTTGTACGATTATGCACTTGGAAAAGCCAGAGGGTTTATACACTAACTTCCTTGTTCCTGAGAGAGCTCAATGGATCCTAATTATCAAGAAATTTAAATTTAATAGTCTTTAAAACGTCTAGTATATGTACAAATACTAAGAATAATTTTGTAAATCTGGTGAAATATAAACACAATTACTCATTACACACTGATTCAATGGGGCTATGAATATTTATTAAGCAATTACTCTGAGCCAGGCCTAAATGATCTTTCACCTACCTTAAAAGTATCAGCCAAGATTTCAGCACCTCGTTGATTTGTTCTTTTGGAAAGGCCCACAAAAAATTCTCTGCCTATAATAGATGGGATGGAACAGAGTGAGTTGGTGGCCCTGGGGATTGTACTGTTTCTTTATCCATAAATAATGGCCCTAAAGTATTGCAGCGTTCTCTTCTCCACTGGGAGAGTTCCACCAAAGAGACTCCTGTTCCCATTCCAAAAACTGATCTCAAATAAGTCTTTCAAATCCAGAGGTGGAAATCGGCACGGCAGTTTCTGGGAGCTTAGAGAAGGCACTTGGGCAGTGGTTGCGGAAGGACAATGGCGGGTCAGCTGTGGAGGATGAACAGTACCTGGCGATGCATGATGGTGGCTTCCCAGATATACTAGGGTGCTCACCGCCTCTTTATCGCACCCTTCAAATGGCTATGCATAGACAGTGCAACCCAACACTTATGTCTCAGGGAACACCTCAGAAGGCGTGGCAGAAAGATCAGAAGAGCCAGAGGAACAGGATGTCTGCTGCAAATATTTTCCAGATATGACGGGGATGCTATACCCAAGAAATCTCAGCAATGTAGTTCCAGGGCATCCAGTGTCCTCTTCTGGTCCTCACAGGCACCAGACACGCGTGTAGTACACAGGCACATACCCATACGCATGAGATTGTTAATAATTAAATCATTCTGGGAGGACTTGGGGGAGGGAAGTAATATGACCAAAACATATTGTATAAAAAAATTTTAAAAAAGTAAAAAAAAAAACCCAACAAACTTCTTTTCTTTTCCTAGCCTATTCACTTGTGAGAGAAACCAGGCCTTTCATCAAATCAACAATCCTATGTTCCAGATGTGGCTGAAGCCTTCCTGATCATTTAGCATTTACACTGTTCCTTTACTCTTTGTATTCTCAATGAAGCGGTAGTTTCCTGGGGATGGTTACGTTTTCTCTTTTTCCAGAGGGGTCCGTATGCTCATTGCTTCGCACAAGGCACAGATGAATGGTCACAAATATTTCAGTATGGTGGGAACAGAATGCTCAAGGGGGTCCAGTGACACTGGCCTAACTCCTCCAGTGTTTCCCCACTGAGCGCCACACAGCGCCTTTCGTCTCCATGGATGCTGTCCACGGACGCTCGGCTGCAGACCTACCCCTTTATTACATTTACAATTCTAAGAAGAGAAAAACTGATCTACTTGAAATATAATCCATAAAGCAAACATAGGGTAAATGTTTTCCCTTCTACAGCTACAGTAGAGCTGGTAGTTTCCAAACTTACAATGGCCACATTAAAAAGAAATCCATCATTATCTATTAATAAGTCAATGTTTAAATCATAACAGAAATTTAGGAAATATTTAGAATCAGATGGTATCAGAACTATACCAAACAGTGATTCTCACTGGGTGTGGTGGAGCAAGCCTATTACTCTAGTACTAGGGATGTAGAGGCAGGGGGATTGGGAGTTCAAGCTCATCCTCAACTGTATAGTGAATTTGAAGCAAGCGTGGGCTATATAAGACCTTGTCACAAACAAACAAACAAACAGAAAAATGATTTAATTAAATATTTGAAATCCATACATTAGAGAAATGTACATTTCAAAATTGATAAGATAAAATCTCATTTTATTATGTAGGAAAATAGAATAGAGTATAAAAAAAGACACTTAAAAGAAGGAAACAAAGACAAAGGAAACACTTAAAGCATTCACAAAAGCTAATATCGGTCCTTTGAAAAGATTAATAAAATTGACAGATTTCTGGAGGGGGAGGGAACTGAGATGGGGAGGCAGGCACAAGCATGACAAATGGAGTTTGAAGAAACATTAAGAGTGATTTTATAACCAACATTTTGAAAACTGAGGTAAAAGAGATATAGTCAGAAAATGGGACTTAACCAATATGGGCCCGGGGAAAGCCACAGTAGGGACACAGTCATAACAGTAACTGAACCAGGCTAAAACTCCCTACTAAGAAAGGGCCAAGAACTGTTCATGCATTTGCCTTAGCAAGCTGAAAGAATACACAATATAAACTGTACTGATTCCAGAGACAAGAACAATAGAAAGCATCCCTGAACACCTCATTAATTATTATTAATTGATTGACAATACCCATTAATTTATATAATAAACTAATAAATGAAATAAATAGTTGTTGATTTATTAATGATAATTATTAATTAATAATGAGCTATACATTTCTGTTATTAATAGACGGTATTACCAAAGCCAGATGAGGGAAACAAGAAAGAAAAAGTGTAGGCCACCGAAACAAAAGCTTTAAATATATTAGCAAACTAAATATAACACTGTATAAAAAAGTGAACAATAATGGATTGATTTTGTCTCTGATATGTAAGACTTATCACGTATCAGGAAGCAAAAGTGGAGAAGGAAAGCCATATAATCGTGCTGAAGCAGGGAAAGGGTTTAGCCTATAACCCAGAATTCAAGTGTTAGCCTTACAGAATATAAGACCCTGAAGACATATTCAGGAACAGGCAAAACAGCGTTGGAGGCAAAGAAAGACAAAAGCCAAGGAGCACCCACACTCCACACCATCAGTGAAGTGAGTAAATATTTGGTGGTATGGCCCACAGAAACTGTTACATCTACCAACTTACGTCAAAAGTATAAACACCACACAGGGACTCATATAGTGGATGCCACAGCAACAGAAACACAAAAGGGCAACATTCAAGGCCATATGCTGAGAAATACATACACCAGGACAAACGTTAAAGATCAGGAAATAATCAACACAGCAGTAAAGAGAATGGCTTCCTGAGCCTGGGAGTGGGAAGAGACTGGGATGAAGGGGGAACATGGGGTTTCTGTGGTCTGGGCAGGACTCTGCTTTATAAGCCAGGGGTGGGCATGCCTACTTCATTACTAGTCTTTAAACAGCATGCACACCTTTATGACTCAGTTATATGAAGTCTATATTTCACAAAATAAATAAATAAAAGGGTAAATTGATGTTATCTATGCGAGGGAAATGGGATGGAAACAACTTTTTGCCAGTCGCTGCTTGCATGACTGACAGATTTCCCAGCAGGAAGCGGGATTGGAAAGTAGCTCTCCTTCTGTCCATTTCCTGATAAATTATTAATGAAGCCTTGACTCATGGAAAGAAGGGGCAGAGAGCACGAGAAAGCGCCTCAGATTCTGCTACTTACCCAGCTCTGTCTGCCTCATTGAAAAAACCGAGGGACAGACTAGCATACAGTAGGAACATAACTTACGGTTCGTGAATTTTACACTTACGAATGGGAAAAGCGGCAAATTTTATGTTTAATCAAAGAAGAGATGGAGGGAGGGATGGGGGAGAGAATAGGGGTGCAAGGGTGGAGATCAGAGGATGGGGGAGAGAATGGGGGTGCAAGGGTGGAGGTCAGAGGACAGCCTTGCGTGTTGGTCCTTGGACTATCTAGCCACCTTGTATAAGGCGGGGTCTGTCTCTTGGTCATGGCTGTGCAAGCCCGGCCAGCAGCCCCAAGCTTCTAAATTCTCCTGTCTCCATTCTCCATCTCACTGTGGATACCCTGGGACTACAGATACGTGGTTCTTTTCCTGTCTAATGTGGGTTCTGGAGATAAGAGCTCAGATCCTCATCCTCGAGTAGCAAATGCCTCACCCACCGAGTCATCCCCCAGTCCTTTACCTCAGTTTTGAATAAAAGAAATCTTAAGGTATTCACTTACTGGATGAGGTCTTAAAAAGGCTCACACAGCATCCGGGCTAAGACCCCATGTGCAGTGAGGCAAAGGCATCAGGCTTGGCCTGCTGTGGAGAGAATGTTGACCAGAGGAAGAGAGACCTGATACATGGTGTGGCCCGCACTGGGGGGGAGTGTTAGCCTGTGTGAGCTGTTCAGGTCGTTAACTCACTGTAAACATACCACCTTGTTTATGTGGTGTTTTGAAGGACATTCGAACCTGTTCACCATAAATTACATTACTGCTCACATATATTCTGGTAAATAAAAAGTGCTGCATTGTAGGGAAGTGTGATTTACACATCTAGTTTTCCACAGAAGGCCCCCCCCCTTTTTTTTTTTAAAGGAAACAGACTGCTGCTCTGGTCTGTCAAAAGAAAGTACTATCTGTGAGAGGCCTGAAGACTCTTCTGAGAGGATTCTACTGTGGAGATTCACACAATAGCTGAGATGTTTCCGGGCACAACCAGAGCTATGAATATATCATCAGTTCTCTTGACACCTCTCAATCAATGTCCGGTGGGCTCAAGGTACACGCAGCCCAAACTCCAGAGACACAGCCAAACTCCCTAGCCTGTGTCAGACAACCTCGGCTGGGCTGCACAGCAAACAGCATCATTGGACACTATTCACCAAAGCCATGGTTCGAATATGGCAATGGCTCCAGCCACAGGCATGGAAGAAGACACTAAAACGTCAGAGTAAAGCTGCCTCCTCTTCCTCCTCCCACTCCTCTTTCTCCAGGAACATTCATTCAATCTGAACATTACTAAATCAAGGCATTTTCTAGATAACAGTGGTGGCACCAGCTAGACTCAGACTTATTCCCAGGAAGCCTGGTAGTCTTAGCAGGTCACATGAGGCTTCTTCCTCTGCTTCTCCAGGGGCCGCGTCTGCCTGTGGACTATACTGGTTAAATTCTTTGACACCCTAGGGGCAAGCAAAATCTCACTATAAATTAAAAATTCCAGTAATTATCATGCCCTTGAGTATAACCAGATGAGTTTGAAGATGGAGATTTTACGTAATAATCCATCATCATAAAGAAGTGGAAAGGTTAAATGCTATAATTATTGTTTCTGTAGTAGCCACCTTATAAGGATTCTGGTTAGACCAACAATAATATTAACATTTGTATTTCAATGAGTTATGCTGGCATAAAGTCAAGTCAATTTGCATAGAAGTTTAGTTGAATTCATCTTGCCATCTGGAAAGAAATTATTTGTAAATGACGCTAATTTTGAATTAAGAACCTTTTAGCACAAACCCAGTATATGGTTACACAATGGAAATACAATGCAACACATAAACCCAATTATAGACAAACATGCTACATGTCCATAATATTCCTGTAAAGAATAACAGTTCTGCACACAAATGTTCTGGTAGAAAAGAGCTGCTGTGCAAGGAAGCGTGAAGCGCATCTAAACACTACTGTGGTTATCCCCGTGTGGCAGGCCCGTCTTCCTCCCTCACTGTGACTATCTGTATGCTTTTAGATCCCTGTGCTTAGTGTTCATAATTTGACGATTAAAGAAACACGCTGAGGAAGCAAGCGTGAACAGGTATTAGAGCAGAAGACCAGCGAGCGCGTACCTGTGAACAACACGTCTCCGCCATCTAAGGTTGCATTCTCATCTTTCATCTCTACTATGTTGAGCTGAAGCTTCTCCAGAGCCTCTTTCATCATGTCAACCTGGTGAAAACAAAACAATTTCGCGTTAATGCCAACCACTCCCTGATGTGAAGAACCAACTCTCCGTAACTTGTCAGCACGAAACCACATTCCTGGTGGTACACAGCCGCCCGCAGCCGTGCTCAGACCCCCACACGCACACAGTTACACTCGTTTGTGTAGATATGGGACTGTGTGTAGTACAGCTATACAGCAGATGGCAGGGTCAGTCAGGATCACTTCTAAGAGGAGAAATTATTCGCTAGGAAGCACGTGTTTAAGGATTTGGGTGTGGTGGCTCAAGCCTGTAATCCCCGGATTTTGGAGGCTCTCTGAGGCAGGGCTGGGGAGGTGAGTGCTGCTGAGAGTTTAAAGCTAGCCTGGTTCACAGAATGATACATTGCCTCAACGTTAAACAAAATCTATTTACTTTTCCTGTAGAGCGGTGGTTCTCAACCTTTGCGATGCTGCAACCTAGGAACTTTAATAAAGTTCTTCACGTTGTGGTGACCCACAGCCATAAAAGTATTTTTGTTGCTACTTCATAAGTGTAATTTTGCTATTGTTATGAATCATAATGTAAAAAAATATGAGAGGCAGGATATCTGATATGTGACTCTCGTAAAAGGGTCATGACCCTCAGGGTGAGAACCAGTCTTGTGGCGTAAGATTAGCCATTTTCTTGCCTGAGAAGGTTAAGTAGTTAGGGCTCTCACCCAGTTCTTTTGTCCTTGCAAGAAAGTGCAGGAATTAATTTTGAGCCCAGGTGAGACGGTCAAAATCACGAACACTGATAGTACTAACGGAAAAGTGACGGCAACTCGGTATTTCAGTCTAGATGGAAGACAGTCATTAGTTTCTTTGAAATATTTTCTAAAATGCCATGCACCCAAGGCTTCTCAGCTATCCTGTTGTTAAAATTTATATTCATGCATGTTTTCAAACTTAGTTCCCTAGACGTTATTAACAAGCACAGTCACTGTCATCAAACTATCGGAAAATGCAGTTCAGGGACTCCCTGGCTCTGGCCTCATCCATCGTGGAGACACTCTGGGCTGAATTAGAAAAAGAGTAATTAGAATTACTGTTTGGGCTTACTTTATTTCTAATTTTAAAAATTATTCTATTTTGAGACAGCATGTCACTAGGTAACCCAGGCTGGTAACCCAGAGAACTAGTGACCCTCATAGTATTGGGGTTATAGGTGTGTGCCCTCTGTAAGCTTATAACTTAATTTACATCCCTCCAGCAGCTCAGAAAAAGCAATTTTTATATTTTTTATATTTATCTTATATATGCATAAATATATTTATTTAAAGGTCTGTGCAACCTTTAAAATAGTAATCATCTATTAAGAAGAGGTGAACAGGGATATGAGAAAGACAAGAGGTCACAGCACACTGGGAAGAACAGGCATTCCTGCCAAAATGCTGAATACACAGGGTAGGTTGTCTCTGAATAGACATCACTAGAGGAGTTGCTTCTCAACTAATAAAAATGTGGAAATACTTTGACAATACTGACATTCATGCATTCAAAAACATTACAGAGGGGATAAAGGAAAATAAACACATCACCTCATCCTTGTCCGGGAACTCATGTTACATTTCCACACACCAGAGTGACTCAGAACAATAAAAACGATTTCCATGGATAAAATTGTCTTTATATAGTAAATACATCCAGTGACTGCTTTCACCAGGAAGGGGAACCGTCATGTCAAACAAACAGGAGCCAAACATTTACCACGAATCATGAGCCTCTGAACCCAAGTGCACACACACACTCATCCGCACACCAACACAGCTGCACATACACACATACACTCAGTTTGCTCCTGTTGTCAGCATTAGCGTCTGTGGAAAATTCACTGAGTGTAACTACAGAGGGCATGAGAACCGAGCTCGGTTTCCGGGTTTCCATCGCCGACACTCCTGCTTCTGGCAGAAGTTAACATTTCAATAACTGGGAATTTGGCAGCAACACGGATTCCGCTGAGAAAGCTTCTGTGACGGCCCAGCATCTCAAGAACTTTGTTCAAGTTCTTGAGAGTTAAAGACAGAAACAAGGAAGGCGCTGTCACTTTCCACTGGTCTCTGAAACACTTCCTTCCAACTTCCAAGTCTGGTGTGTTTCAAATTTGAGGGTTTATTTTCTCCTGGTTTTGAAAAGCGATGGGTCAGGATCATGTAATAAGACATTATTATTTTTCCCCCGGAAACACTAAGTGCATACATAGGGTTAAGGAACTGCTGGACATTAATGATAAAATAATGCTAAAGAGAAAATGATTTTAGAGATTAAATATTGTGGTTTCTTAAACACGAAACCAGGTATACTGGCATTATATTAAACCTGGATTTTGTGCAAGCGCCTTCTAAAAAGTATTCTGTTGCTGTTTTATCACCAGTCGTTTGGACAGGTTTACATCATACATGAAGATGGTGCTGAATTACTTTCAGGGCCAAATGCATGCATACGAGTTTAAAGAACTTTAAACATGAAATAGACAGTTTTGAGAGGTATAGGGCTGTGTAGCATCAAGCTGGGGGTGCTAACTCCAGGGGGGGGGGTGTCTAACAAAACAGAAGAACTGAGCCCTGCAGGCTGTCCCGAGAGAGCTGGATGCTACTGGCTGTCCACTGAGAACTGAATTCTCCCGGTACAGATTTCCAGGGAAGCACGAAGTCTCCTACAATAGGCCCAGCACGTCCCTGACACAGCAGCCTGGAGCAAGCCAGCTGCCTGGGCTGTTAGAACATGAAGTGTACTGACAGAGGGGGAACTTTTATAGGAACAGATCCAACCATGAACCTTCAACAATCTGCTTGTTGCACGGTTACACAGACGTGGCTAATGTTGATTTAATTTACGTTCAGGAAGGGGAAAAAAAGCAGAAGCAACCAGCACTCTACCTTTCGCAGAGTGTTCTCACAGGAGCGGAACTCCAAATTGCTCAGGGAAGCCATCAGAACAAACAGCACTGATTCTACTGAACACCCTCTGCCAGCACATAAGATCAGAAATTAAAAGGAGAAACCAGAGAAACCTTAGCTTCTGATCCAACTCTATTCTGAAGACTGACAAGTGCTTTGAGTTTTAAGCCGCCTCTCTTGCCTAGGTTTATGGGTATTCTGAGCCTCAGTGTGCTCATCTTTAAAGTGGGTATTTATTTATACTACCAACGACTTCTTAAGCTTTCTCTGACCACTAAACTCACGTAAAGTTTATAACACACAGAACTGTAATTGCACAATAAACATCAGATACAACTTTTGTTATCTTGGTGAACTACCAGCCTGTGTTCACATGGTGACAGGCTGCGAATCTGACCCACAAGCAAAAAAAAAAAGCTGTTGCTCTTTCTTACATTTAGACAAATCTCCATGTTTTACGACTGTGCGACAGATTCCATCTGGGTTCCCACAAAATGAAATCGCAGTCTTTCCAACAAGCCAGCTCAGAGCGAGAGCACATTCGTGTTAAAATCTTGCCCATTTTACTTCCTCCCAGCTCCGGGAAACTGTTGTGTTGAGGCACGCTTCCTATACTCTGTCCTTTGAACCAACCTTTGACAGGTACGGCACCGAGAGAGGTGGGAATATCTTACGCCTCGCAGAACAAGCACTGCAGGCTAGGCGCTGTGCATCCTGTCTTTAATCCCATCACTCTAGAGGCAGACACAGGATGATGGGACAGGAGGATAGCGGGTTTGAGGTCAGTCTAAGCTACCTGTGAAGCTCTAGGCCAGCGAGGGTTACACAGAGCGATTTCCCTAACACACACCAACCAACCAACCAACCAACCAACCAACCAACCAACCAACCAACCAACCAACCAACCAACAAACCACCATCCACAAAAACAACCCAAGGCAACAAGCTCCTGCTGCTGTGATGAAAAGCAGCTTGAAAGAGAGAAAGGGCTTATTCCGGCTCACAGTTGGAGGCTCCAGCTCAGCCTGAAGGAGGCAGGACACTGACCATGCTGGTGTTGTTAACCTCCTACTTTGATGCAGCTTTGGATCCAGGTCCAGGGAATGGCGCTGCCCACTTTCAGTGTGAGTCTTCCCAGGTCAGCTGGCCTGGTCAGCCAATCCCTCACAGCACATACACCCACACCCCAAGCTTGTCACCTCCATGATTCCAGATTGTGTCAAGGACAGTGAACGCTACTCACCACACAATCCCACAAAAGGGCATCAGGCATGATGACAAAGCCTGAAAGTAATGAGCACCTGGCCACTGTACCCTCTTCGGTTCCTTTTCTTTCTCAGTGCCTGGCTTCCTTTCTTATCTTTCTCATCTCCCTCTCCCTCCTTCTTCTATGGCTTTTGTTCTGTCTCTTCCTTTGTCCTGCCATGTTGACATTACCATCTTAGTTTGTCCCTTCAAGCCTCTGGAGCCCTCATGGACAGCACCTCGCATTTGGATACTGCTGTGAAGGAGTAATACAAATTGTGGTTTCCTGATCTGTAAAGGGGTGTTGGAAGCACCTAGCTCACTGCCTGGCACACTGAGCTCAAAACCCACAGTCTGTGGTATTATTATTTTACTCTAAAATAACGTATTATAGTTTCAATTCTGACTACGTTTCAAAAGGAAAGAAAAGATGCAAATGCAGACTTTCATCACTATACAAAGTCTTTTAACAGCAACTCTCCTTTTCTTCCCTTTAATATAAACAAAGTCAAACCAAAAAAATGTTCCCTAATATGAAGTAAAAACAAATTAAACATAAAGCCTCGTGGCATTGTCCTGGAAGGCTGCATCAGAATAGCTCACCATAGTACTGCGATTGACGGCCTGGGTTTTATTCAGCACCAGTGTTTTCCAGCAGACCCCCTCCACAGTTGGTGGGTGTCTAGTGGGCATTCTCAGCAAAACCATTTAGAAGGCTTCACTTCTTGGCTCTGGATGTTATGAACAGGAGCTCGAGGGGCCTTATGGACAGATACTTCTGAGCCGTAGTTTCATACAGAACACGCATCAGCCTGTCTGCAGAGCCACCCTCTCTTTCAG